CATTATAGTGATAATACCCAATGAATGCAGTTGAACTTTTTCAGTGGTCTTGACTGAAAATTGTCTTGGAAGTGCCCTCAGTGCTTGTTATCCTTGCTTTTTGCTATTTGCCCTATTCTCTCTTCATCTCCCATGTCCTCCATGGATGCTGGGCTAACTATCACGCAGCAGGCTGTGTGTAGGAACAAGTAGTTTTCAGTAGTTGTTGTACTCTACTTGCCAAAGGCAGCAGCTGTTTTCATGTCTTCTGTCACAAATAAATGATAGCAGATAAATCAGTAGTTCAGCCAGTTGGCTGAACTAAATGATGTTTATGCCTGGGCAGAATGAGACCTGCACAAGCTCTGGTGATTAAAATTGGATTGCCCCATGTTAAGGTTGTTCATAACACTCCATAAACGCTCTCCTTCTGTTGCTGATTTCAGGAATTTATTTCAGGTGCTGCAAGGCCTTTGTTTTACGTGCCATAGAAACCTTTATAGTATTTATCCAGAGTCTGGTCCCTGAGTATTTGAATTCAAGAAATTCTGAGTCCTCTGTGATCTCAATGATTAAGAAGTGAGAGATGTGACCAAGATGATGCATTTTTACCTCTTTGAGCTGATCTGTGTCAGCACAGAGAAAGAAGCTGAGTGCGGCCAGTGACAAGACAGGGAGTGGTGCTCAAGTCCTTCCACATTTGATGGGACATGGAGCTGAAAGGACAGCTGGAACAAACAAGGCCTGCCCTTAGCAAATCAGAGGCTTAATGTTGCATGGCCATGGGGCAGGTTTTCTGGCTCATGAACTGCCTCTTTCAATTGATTCTGTTATTACATACGTACAGAGCACGACTGTGTGATAGATCTTGTTTTTTCCTCATTGATGAAAAGGGTTTTTTTCTTTTTTTTTTTTTTCCTAATATTGAGAGCTTCCAGCAAGGTCTTTCTTTTTGATTTTAAGCAAAAGCTTCTAATGGCAGACTGCATAGAAATGGGCTAAGTACTCACAGCAGATTTCTTTCCTCCTTTCCAGGTAACTTTGAAAAGGAGTATGACGGCGTGACGGTCAAAATGACCTTTGCCATCGTCCAGATCATAGGCTTCTTCAACTCTATCTGCAACCCCATTGTTTACGCTTTCATGAACGAAAACTTCAAGAAGAACTTTCTGTCTGCCATCTGCTTCTGCATGGTGAAAGAGAAGGCATCCCCAGGCAGGCAGCTTGGCAACTCGGGGATCACTCTGAGGAGGCAGAAGCCCAGTGACTCCCAGAGAGACGCCGTGGACTCGGATGAAGGCAGGAGGGAGGCGTTCAGCGACGGCAACATCGAGGTGAAGTTCTGTGACCAGCCGGCTTCCAAAAGGCATTTGAGGAGGCACCTGGTGTTGTTCAGCTCTGAGCTCACTGTGCATTCCGCACTAGGAAATGGACAGTAGAATCACGGTGGTGGTGGTGGGGGGGTTGAGAATGGAACTGTCAATAAGCCATTGAAAACACTTTTCTTCTTTGCGAGCTGAAGTAAGGCGGAAAATATTTTGGGGACTATTATAATGCCGGTGGAGAAAACGTAATATTTATTTGATAAGGATGAGGAGTAAAACTTCAGAAAACAAAATTGCTGTATGATTTCCTGTGGGGGCTAAAAATTATTTTTCCTGAGCTAGTTCAGGACTTGTTTGCCCTAAACTGCTATTGCTTACTCTGTTTATTTTGTGTCTACACCAACACAGCTGAATTCCAGAAGGCAGGAACTATGGAAAGAGTGTGCACTTTATTTGGACAACCTGGAAGTCTGACATGAGTCTGACATTGTAAGATCCTCTCTCTGCAGCTCTGAGGACAGAGGAGCTTCAGATGTGAGTTCAGGGAAGATGCAGACTGAGATGCAATTGTGTTTCAGAAAAAATGAAAAGGGACTATGAGAGAGCCAACAGCCAGAATCTGACTCTGAAGAGATTGAGATTTAACCATTGCATGCATGGTCATATTTTATTAATAGGAAGCATACTAGTAATTAACAATGCATGCATAATTAATATGGTTAATTCTTGGGTACTGGCCTGGAGACTGCACTGTTCTGCTGAAAAATGGAGAGGTGGGGAAAGGGCTGCACAAGAGTGGGCAGGTGCTGGAGGTGTGGCCTGTAAACACCGAGTTTAACTCACAGACTTGGCTGTGTGGCTGTTGGGTTGAAAGTGTGGTGTTGCCATTTTCTGGAGGGATAAAAGGGTCAGATCCAGAGCCTGCTGGGACTTCACAGAAGACTTTGCATTGAGTATCACATTCTTTTGACCAGACACTTCTCTGAAGACATGCACAAATTCTTCTGTCTCTCCAGTGTTCTGTTATTTTTAGACTTCACAGTAAATTACAGGGTTGAATTCCGTATAAATTCCAATCATTTTTGCTCCATGGGCCAAACTGAAAAATTGTACAAGTGTGCTTACAGGTGTGGGGCTGGGAGAAAAGTGTGGTCTGGAATGGTACACTGGGATCTAATCCCATAAATGAGGTTTTGAAATACAGATTTTGCCACTCCAGCTGAGATTAGGCTGGATCCTTTAACAGCTTGTGAAATGTCAGTGCTCTCCTCTGTCATCCCTTGCCTCACCTACGGGACCTTGGTGCTCCCTTGCAGTAATTTAAGATTCTTTTGGGGCTTTTTGCCCTGGAGAATAGGGGTTAACAGTGGTTTGTTATCCCAGTTTTCCTCAGCAGATGATGTAAAGTTTAACTGGTTGGTGGTGAGAATTATGTGCTTGGACAGAATCTGTGACTGAAAGCCAATTTATTTTAAGCTTTTTATTTATTTGCACTGCTAATTTCAAAGACAGGTTTTAAGAAGTATTTTACAAAATCTTCCAAGTATTTTATATTTTTGTTTTGTCTTACCTGTTTCTTCTATTGTCTCATGAAATGTTTTGTCAATGAATAACTGTTCTAGTATTGTATTAATTTTTTTTTCATTTAAATTCCTCTTTGGGTTTGTTGGTACTGTTTTGCACTGGGGAGCAGCTGCTGTAAACTTCACTCTTTGAGCTTCTCTCTGTTTAAAGATTCATGTAAGCTTAATATGTGCCTCTTTAGGGATTAAATTCCAGTTCTATTACAGGTGCCAGCTGCTACTGTAACCCTTGGAGCTGTGATTTAAAGGACTTGGCAGAATAAGGTGAGAAAGGGGGGGAAAAAACCTTCCAGTCTCCTGGTAGAAGAGATGTGATAAATGTTTCAGCACAGATTATGTGGCTATGGTTAGATCAAATATAAACCAAAATACAGAAGACAGTTCTCATGCTGTTCTTAATAGTAACTATATTATTTGTGTGTTTTCGACACAGTGGTTTTCTTGCAGTGGTTTTCTTTCTCTTTTGAGAATTCAGAGCTGCAGGGAATAAAAGGTCCTTTATTGACTGAAGCACAACCAAGATTTTGCCCATGTTTTTTTGTTTTTTAAATCTGTCAGTGCTTCAGCTCCGATTACCTAAAAAATCCAATCGCCCTGCTGTCCCCCAGCCTACCTGTGCTTATTCCCATCTTCCAGCAACAGAATTTCATGGAGCATGTGGTCACAAAAATTTCTGGCTGATGATTTTACTGGAGAGCAAAAAAAATAACCCCATTTGATTCCTTTAACTGAGAATAGTTATCAAAACTGTTGTGATCATGGAGGAAAAACTGTCTTAGTTATGAGTTCCTTGTAATTTCTTTGCTTTAAAGAGCCAAACTTCTTTTGTTCTCAGCTGGAAGGGGCTAAGCCTCAAAGTTGCAATGAGATGATGCCAGGAACTGATGGACACAGGAGAATGAAAGGACACATTCAGCTGAGCAGAGACTGGAATTTTGAGTGGACCAGATTATTATTGCCCAGGAAAAAAGAAAAGGAGTAAGTAGATGGAAGGATTTAGTAGAGCTGTTGGCATGGAGAGGTGGGATAGGAAGATAATCGTGGCGAGCCATGTTTTTACGTAGATATGGGATAATCTGAGTGTTCCAGAAGTTGAGAAAGCTTAGAAACTACTTAGAGAGCAGTTTGGGGAACAGAACAGCATCTCCATGCACAGGGCAAAAGGCTGGGAAGAGCAAAACCAGCCTTTTGGTGCCTCTCCAAGTGGGAGCAGTGGAATGGAGGAGGAGCTTCGCCGAGCTGAGAAGGAGACGGGTAAATGTGGATTTAATGCAGAAACACAGGAATTTAAAATGCATATATTCCTTCAGAAACATTCACATAACATGTTTATTTCTGTCTATACTCAAAGTCCTGCTTTGACACCTCAAAACTGGCTTCCAAGGGTATTGCTGGAAATTCAAGCCATCATTAGCTGCTTCTGTCGAAGCTCCAGTAAAGCTGATACATTATGAAGTTATTTTACAAGCTCTGGTGATTTGAGATGAAAAAGAATCCATGTTATTAATATTTAGTTAATAATTCATTGCAATGGCTCCGGTTCCTCAAAACTCTCAAGATGTGAAGCCCTGCTCAGACGTTGTGCAGAATTTCTCTGATCCTGTAACAAATTCTGATTTCAATTACTATTTTCGGTGCTGCTATCAGCGTGTGATACTTTCTTTACCAGCTTTTGGTTACTGCTGCTTACTTTGTTTCCTCTTTTGGGATTTCTGGATTTTGATCTGTCTGGACAAAAGTGGCAGTTTTTGTCTTACTGACTTGTCTGTGAGCAACTGCAGTGATCAGAACTGCCTCATCCAGATTTCATTTTAGAGAGATATGAATATGTCTGTTTTAAAAAATGATCCTTAAATGTTTATGTCCTGTGAGTCAGGTTGAGGTTGCTGCAGAAGGGCTGCCCTACAAGCCAGGGTTGGTTTTGAGAAGATTGGTTTTAAGGATATTTATGTGTAACACATAAAAGGCATCGAGAAATTCATCGGAGTTACAAACAAACTTCTAGAAATGCATCTGTGCCTGTAGGGTGCCTAAAACTCAAACCAAGACTTGAGAGATGCCTGCTGCCTGAAAAATGTTGGATTTTGCTGATGGGTCTCCTGTGGAGTAACACAAAGCCTTCTACGAAAAGCCCTGATTCCCTTACATTTTCCATTTTTTTTCCTCAAAGCAAAACCTTCAACTTATTCTTTGGAGAAATGATCGTAAAACCTTTGCCCCAAACATATTGTGGAATATGGTCAGTTTGTGAAAGGGACTCTGGCCTAAAATGACATAATGTTGTGCTTAAAAGGATTTTTTAGGTCAACACTCCTGTCTTGGAGGAAAAGATCCCTTTTTTTAAAGTTTCTGCTTGAAATCTCTTTAGAGCTCTCTAGATGTTATTTGCTTGTTGCAATGGCAACACTCATTTTTTTCTGAATTAATCCCACCAAGGCTCCTGTGGGCTCTCTCTCTCATCAGGTGAGTTTACTGTTCCCTTGGACGTGGTCCTTTTGTCCTCTGTCTCTAATCTTTTCCAAACATGCACGGTCAAATTGTGTGCAGCTTTTCAGCTGAGGCTTTAGCAGTTTTTATTCCCCGTGGAATAAAAACTCATCTTTCCTGGCATCTGTATCTTTGCTCTGTTTGCCAAAACACAAGTGCCTTCAGATGCTTAACTTTCTCCTTGTACAGAATCCACAATGTATGACTGAAAACTTGTACTTTCATTCCTCTTTATAAACTGGAAAATCTGGTTTGCAGACTTGAAGGGGTTTTTCCTACAGCTTAAACTTACATCTTTAATCAAAATCATTCTCTTATTTACACCATCTTTCCCCCCTGCTCCTGAGCAAAGCCTTAGTTCAATGATTTAAAATTTAAGGCAAGGTCTCCGTAATTCTCTTGTTATGTCTTGGAAATACAAGAGAAGGATTTCAGGCTTTTTCCATGGGCTTATAGCTGATTTGTAAATCCATTTTATTTTTGCCATCTGCAACAGATATTTTTCCTCCTTGTAATTTATGCCACCTTGATAAATATTCCGATGTATGTACATGTAACTGTAACAGCATCAGACATCATTTTCCAGCAGCATCACAGGTGCAATCTTTTAATTTCATTTTCTGCTGCAACAGATTGTTGGTATTCCAGTGCTATCCCTGGGAACCTCCTGCTTTCACAGCATCCCTGACCTCTGCAGTTGGCTTTGTTTAAGATCACTCTTGCCTAAAAACAAACTTTGTTTAGTGAGAAGTCAAGCTTTGACTCGTCCCTTTTGCCTCGCTCCTTTTCTGTTCTCATCTCATCAGTTTGTTTTGCTTTTTCACTCTGTCCTTATCTTTAATCCCATTGCTTTTCCTCAAGCAACCCCTTGTGTTCCCTGTGCCCTTATCTCTTTTATACAGATCACAGTAACCAGGTAATGAATTTTGATGCTGGAGTGAAGCAGTCCTGTGGTTCAGAATTAGTATTCTGTCAGGGCTGGCTATCAGACCTGTGAGCTGCGTTTCCAGCCCTTACGTCAGGCACCCTTGGAAAGACCTTGCCCACTGCACTGCTTATATATGGCTTGCTTTTGGGAAGAAAGAAGAGAAAAAAAAAAAAACAACAAAAAAAACCAGAAAAGAGAAGTTGATTTTTCTTGCTACAAATAACGAGCGCAGATGCCCGTGTTCATTGTGGAGATGACAGCTCACAAAAAGGTCCAGTAACTTTCTTCTGGGAGTCTGTAAAACACGCTCTGTGTAGTGTCTTGTGTGTGTGTGACAAGAGAAATGGAACGTTCTTCTGCTTCTTGCCTCTAACATATGGTTTCTGTAGATACATCTGTCAAGTTTAGCCATTCAGAGCTGGAGAGTCTTAAAGACCATGCAATCTGAGGACAAATAGAAGATAAATAGCACCTCCGTGGGTAAAGCAGAAAATAAATCCTACTAAATGTCCTATTAAAGCCGCCTCTTCGGTCAGACTTGAGTGCTGAAGAGCAGATTTGCGTCAAAAAAGTCTGAGGAAATCTGTTCGCCCCCTGCAGCTCGGCGGGTTGTTGTGGCCTCGCTCAGGCTGTAGGTGGCATCGTTGCCGCGCAGGAAAATCCCTGCTCTTCCCGTCCCTCGGAAGGGAATTGTTATCCTGCAGCGATGGGAGGGTTGGGTAAGGCTTTGCTAAGAGTTCCCCTTTCCAGCTGAGGAGCTGGAGCTCATGGATCGACAGTACAAACAATCCAGTGGAAATTGGTTTTGTTGTTTTGGGCTTTTTTGAGTCTTACCTTCGGTGTCTTAAGTTTTCATCTAAAATTCATCCTGTTTGCTTTGCAAAACTTCTGTTTTCCAAAATAAATACCATCCTTAGATCTGTCTTATTTTTCAAGTTGAGCATTTGAAACATAAACTAGTGAATGGATCTACAAAAACAAAGAAAGAAATAGAGATAAAGGCTCTCTGAAATCCTTCAGATAACTCGTTTCCAGACTCCCCAGAGGGTGCTAAAAGGCCCATAGCTGTAGGCATCCTGCTTCCCAGATCTGGTGATATAGTGGAGGGAAGCCAAAGGAGAAATGGGAAGGGGAGAGAATAAAGGGTTATTTATGAGCAGTCAGAAGAAAACTTAGTTCCTAAATGGCAAAGTTAAAAATTTAAAGGGCCTCAAGAATGATCTGTTTTTATTACAGTCTTCACAGATACTTGCTTAAACATTTTATGCACCAAGAAAAAAAGCCTCTAAAATCTCGAAGGGAGTGGAAGAACATTGCTATTCAAGTTTTTAAAAAAAGCAAAAAATAGCCTTGTACAGGGAAACAAGATTAGCAACCTGTCAGGATCAACTGTAAAATACAAGCCTTGCCCTAGTGATTTAAATTAAAGCTCCACAAATACGACGGGAAATGAACAAATTATTCTTTGAGCTGAAGCGTGGAAATGGAGCATAAGAATCCTGGATATCCAGGGTAACACAAACCACGAGAAAAGGTGCAAAACCTTTGTCATAATTTGCTCTGGGCTCGTGGAATGCTGAAGTTTTTTGATGAGTTACTGATGTGTGTTCATGAAGTCTGCTGTGAAATAAACCCACGTTACTAACGAGTGAGAGGAGCTCAGAAGGCCATAGCAATAAAAGTGGTTGGTTTGTTTGCAAAGTGACCTGAAATTGCTGAGTTTATAGTAATAATCTATTTTTAATGGTAATAGTTGATAATCATAAATACAAGGCAAACACTGGTTTTCTTTCTCTTTTTTTTTTTTTCTTTTTGTTTGAAGGAACATACTAAAGAAATGTTACTTTTCTTGGCATGTGGTATTTTCCTTTCCAAAGTAACCTTAGAGAGTTTTGAGATTAAAGAGAAAAATGTAACAATTTATGAAATTCATTGAATAATTAATTAATCCATGATCTAATTAATCCATTCAGCAGCTACGAAGAGGATCCAAAACACAGCCAGCAGTAAGGGAAGTTTTAGTCCCACTAGTTTGTTTTGGTATGGATTTGGGTCAGTGATGTTTCACTTTGTCCCAGTTGCCTGTTCCAAGGGTTATGGGCAACGCTGTTTTGCTTCTGCTGCTTTTGCAGCAGCACTCTTATTGCTTCCTGGCGTTTAACACCTTTTAGAGATGCCAAATGCACCTGTGAGTAAATCTGTCATCTTCTAATCATGCTGAGTTTTCAGAGAATATGAGAAATTGGGCACTGGAATGTAATATCTGTCTGAAACATGGTTTTCAAATGTTAATTAACCCTTAAGTTACATGTGATCTTTTCCAAGAAGGGGAAATACGTGAGGTAAGTAGAAAGGGGGGTATATATTTTCTTAATTCAATATTTGAATTCATGCTGTGTTCAATAGAAAGGGCCTTAAGCAATAACCACACCAATTATATCTGATAACAGATATTTGCAAAACATCTGTGTATCTCCTAGGGACGGGTGTGAAAGGTGGGTATAAAACTGTGCAGGCTCAAACTAAAATGAGGCAAAACATCCTTCCTGGTATTAGCACGGAGCTGAGGCAGAGCTGATGGTTGCTTTTGTTCCTTCTTCTGCATTGGTAATCTGAAAAGGGGGGCAGCACATCTGCTTTGCAAAACACATCACCAGTTTTTTGAGCTAGTCCATTAAAAGTTGATGCCTAAAGTTGTTTGCATTTCCCACTGATCTGTGTGTACTCGGTTCATTTACCATTCCAATTGTTGCTTAAGGGCCAGCGCTGCACTAGGATGCTCCTGCTCGGGCATTAACTCATCCCGTTCGTGTTTTCAACGTGCTCCGTAGGAAGGGGAAGGGTCTGTAGGGGAGGGTGTTTGAGGAGTGTTTTGGCTGGTGCGTCTCTAGTGACACCTTGTGGGAAGTTTCTCAGAATCGTCTGTAACATTTTCTGAGGAAGAAATGGGATTGTTGGGCAAAAAAGTTGCCAGGTAATCCACACGGGATACACTTGAATCTCTGCACTTGCCTGAAGTTAAAAATCAGCTATAGAGATACACTTTGTGATTGTTGAAATTGTTCTTCCTTTACCCTTTGAGGTGTTACACACTTCACCCTTTGTATGGGTGTACATATGCTATCATCTAGAAGTAAAATTTAACTTTTAAAAATAAATACATTGATTCACTTTAGAGGGGAACATTCAGGAGTGGGAATGCTGTGGATCAGTCGCAGCTGCCACAATTTGAATGAACTCAGTACATGGGTCATTGTCCTTGCTTGGTAAGGGTTTGCTGTTCTGAGGAAAAACTGGAAGGGAAAAAAGCTCAAACAATTTTTTTTTTTTCCCCTGTTCAAAACCGGGTATTTAGAGAACCTGAGTCAATATTTCACCATCCTTCAACTGATGCCCTTGATTCCATTGGTAGTTTCCTTTGTTCGATGTCTCTAGATGCAAGCACTGGGCCACCTGAGCCTGGGAAGAGTAAAAAGGAGTCTCTAATCCCTGAATCTAGGAGATAATCCAGAGGACCTGCTCTAGGAAAAAAACCCTCCATTATGAAAGAGTAACAGTTTTACAAAGATAAAGTCACTAAGATTACACAAACGGGCTGGTGGAAGTGTTGGCCAGTCCTTCTTCAGCAGCTGCTGTGGAGAAACGAACCTGTTTGATACCGCCTATATTGCTTTCTATTCAATTAATATATATTGACACTGCCTGCTTAGCTCTTGCTTTCTATGCCTGGCATTTGGAGGTGAGATATTTGACTTGTTGCTCAGGTTTGGGGTATTTTGTTTTTGTGCTGATAACATGGGCAGACGGCAGAGGCAGAAGACAGATTGACTTGCAGGTGTTGCCTCCTGTTCCCAACTCTTTGTAGTGAAGAAATAGAACTTCTGTAGCCAAACCCATTACAGAGATGATACCTACAGTCCCCTAACCTTTTCTGGGGACTGCAGGACCATTAAGCAGTGCAGTTTTCCTGGGGCTCCTGGGTGGAAGCAGACTGATGATGTGACTTAGAGGCAGCGCTGTGAGTCGGGCACAACCACCCCGGCTTTAGGCTCTGCCTGCTGAGCTTCCCTTCAATAACAGGGGTGTGCCAGTGTTCTGTGAGACCCTCATGCACTGGGCAATCACAGATACTAAAAATCCCAGCTGCTGGCACTTGTGTTCAAGGCAGGAGGTGTCCCCTTCCTACGTACAGCCTACCCTACGTATGAAACAACCCACGCAGTGTGTAACCACCCTCCTGCTTTCACCCTGCGGGGGAGTTTGTCCTTACTAGAAACAGCAATTGTAAGAATGACCTTCAGATTTACAGAAAACAGGAGAGGGCTTTGCTCTGACGCACAGGTATTGGGGAGGGGCTTGCTGCTTGATAGCACATTTCTTGTGCAGCAGTTAAACCAAAGCCTGCTCCTGTGGCAGGCACAGTACTGTAGACGGGGTGTATGATGGTTCTGTCCCTACCAGAATCTACGAATGAATTGCAAACTGCAAACCCACTGCTGGCTGATGAAAGCAGCCCTGCCTTGGCTCAGCTGGGTTTCAGAGCCAAGCCTCACGTTTCGGCCTCTCCTCTAGTTTCGGTTTTAGAATGACAAATCCAGTTTGGATCACGAGCCTCTTGCTGGAATAAGAGCCATGGCTCTTTTTTTCTGTAATCATTTCACCTCCCTAGTGAATCCTTGGGCTCCCTATTTACTGTCATCTTAACTGGTTTTTGCTTGCTGTGATGTTCATTGGTGCTTTACTTCAGGAGGAAATCCCCTTTCTTTCAGTCCCTTGTGATGAGTCACTGCTGCTGTTTGCTTCAAACTGAAGGGGATTCCAACTATGAAATTGTATTATTGCTAAAATAGAACCCCGTTCCATTGCGTAGGTTGTAGCTTAAAACAGAGAAAGGTTTGGGGGGAGTGGGAGGGTAAGCAAGCGGTGTTGATTCTAGTTTTGTTTATGAAACTGGGGATTAATGCTAATTCCAGTAACAGGTGAGCAGCTTAAAAGTTTAGTAGGTCCAAACCAACCTCTAACTGAAAAGCAGTTACGTATCAAGTTCTTTACATAAAGAACAAAAAAACATCACCCCTCAAACCATAATAGTTTGTGCTTCCAGCAGTGAATATCAAGATTGGTTCTGCAAGAAGCATAGCTTGGTTTGAGCTCTTCTTGTGTGTGTCTGTGTCTGTTCATTACGAATTCAAAATTCAATTGCTTTAAAACTGTTTCTTCTGGCCATGGAAGGTTGCTTTCAATTTTCTTCTTTCGTTATAAATCTGACTGCCCTCATCTCTATATTACTGTTGGTTTAGCCCTGGTGCTTTAAGCTGCAGTCTCCTGAAACCATCGTCTAGCACTTTCTTTTGTCTGAAGTAATTGCTGCAACTCTGCGTCCTGCTGGAGTTTTTGTGGATTCCCAAACCCGTGGGTGTGCACACACGATGTGGGGGTTGCAATTTGAAGAGGGCTTTGCTCCTGCCTTCTCATCTCTGCAGGGCCGTGCAGGTAATCCAGGTCTGTCCTTCCTGTGCACCCTCTTTCAGCTCTGGATCGCCATCCTTATTTTCAGAGTTCACCTGAGAGCTTCTACAGGCTACAACAAACCAAACCCCAAAACCACAAAAGGCAACATTTAAAGGCAATTTTTGTATCAAGTGTCTTTAATATTAAGATCTGGAGGGCTGTGGTTGTATACTGAGATATGGTGGCTGCTGAGCACTGAGAAGGACCACGAGGTTGCTGAAAGCACCACAGTAACACTCGGGGTTAGAAAGAGTCTCACTGCTGCTTTTGCAGCACTCTGCTCTAAAGGAAACAAGTAATTAAAAGCCACGAAGATGATCGATTTCCCATAGCCTTTGACTAATGCTGTAAGTAAAAGAACAGTTAAAATCCCACTCTTAGCTGAAGGTGAGGGAGGAATGCTTGGAAGGAGCCTTGCTCCTAACTAGGGACTTCAGGAGACAGCATTTGCTGACTTTCTAACAGGATGGGAGGACACAGACAACTCCATCTCTCAACTCCCAAAATCCTTTTGGGCTTGTGTCTTCAAAGGTATGTATGTAATGCTGAAGACTCAGAATCCTGTACCAATGCCCTAAATTGTCTGATGTATGTAGTGAAATCTCTACAAAGCCAATTAAAGTCACCTCAGCACTGTCATTAAGCTGTGAACTGCTAATACCATTTTTTTTCATTTATTTCTATAATCATTACTATTTTTCTCCCATGGTAGAATGTCTCATCTGAATCATCCTCTCATATGTACCCAACTGCTCTTCAGTGTCCACCTGCACTTCGCAAATGCTAAATGCTCTTTTTCAGGAGGTTAGGTGGAACTCCACTTGAATGCTTACAAATATTTGGAAGACCTAAAGGTAGCAATGGGATATTTATCAGACTCCCTGGCACTCTGCTGTGGTTTAAGGCTTCCTTCAAAGTAAGGTGCACAGAGAAGTACTGCAGAAGTTTAGAGTGAGGATATAGTTAATAGGTGGAGATATATCCCTCCTTTATAAAATAATCCTCAGTGTTTAGTGTGTTTTCTAGGTTGTAATTGCTGGGAAGTACATAAGAGAAGCAGAACTTTGTCTGCTGCAGCATTCCAGTGCTCCAAGAACTTGTCTTTTTTCATTTTTTTTCTTTTTAAAGGAAAAAGTAAACGAAAGAAAGAAGGACCTTATCTCCACTACAGCTAATGGCTTTTCCTGACATCATTTATAAAAATTAATCATTTTAACAACTTTTTTTTTTACTGTTCAAAGAACTTTTACATTTTTCTTGATTGTTCCCCAATGCCCATACACTGCCTCTGTCTGTGTTTTATGAGTAAAATCTAAATAACACAAGGGTACAGTTTCCATAAAATGAAGGTCATGTGAGGTGGAAATAGCAGCCTAAGATCAGGAGTTCCTTCCCTTTTATAGTCCTTTCTTTTGGTAACAGGAAACAGCTCTGAGGCAGTTGGCTTTGGGACAATATATAGGAGGTTTTGCCTTTATAGATTTGATTGTGTCTGCGTCTTATGTGATGGAAAGCTGCGCTAGAAATATTTGGATCTGGCTTCTAACAACAAGAGAGCTTTCTCTAGTGTGGTTATTGACTTTACCACACACTTGGACAGCAGCATAGCACAGTTGTGAGCAGATACTACTCTTGATTTCACAAAAAGGGAAAATTAGGTTCCTATGCTTTAGGAAGGGAAGGGGAAGCAGCTTCTGCTTCAGTGTTATGATGAACACCAGTGGTTGTGTAAAGGTCATCAGATCCTCCAGAGAAGCTGGCAAAGAGTGCAGTTCTCATCTGAAATGTCACAGCCATGTCACCTCTCAGCACCTTCCTCTCCTCCAGAGTGCCTTGGCAAACACCAGCTCTCAAGGGGTCCAGCAGAATTCCTTCCTTTCTTCCTCACTTACATTGATTAGTCCCTTTTTCCTTTCATTTTTAACCCAGGCTCGTGTAGCTCCTGTGCCCAGCTGACAATGTGCAACCTGTAACAGTGGTGGGAGCTGACAAAGCTTTACTGTCCAAGGCAGAGGCTTTTCTGTACAATAGTGTTTTGTATGCTTGGCTATCACCTTGTTCCTTTCTTGGCCCTTTTCTGTGGAGCTGTCCTCTGTTCCAGGGGAACACAGTGGCTCACTCCTTACTTCAGTGCAGAAAATCACAGAGCAGGAACTCAGTTTTATGGTAGATCATCCTGTTGAGTCGTGTAAGTCCTCAAGGCTCTGTGTCTGATTTTATTTTCTGTGGCTCAGCCAAGAAGTATCCGAGGCACAAAAGTGTCTGCAGCTTGCAGTTTGTGCCAGTCCCTGAATCTGGGTGAAAAGGCTTTGCCTCATCCAAAAATACCCTGTCTCCATGAGGTAAAGGTCACTTTTCTGTCAAACCACTAAATGTTGCTTTAAGATTTCACTGACGTAGGGAGTAGTAAATTTAGTAAAGCTTTAGGGTTGACTTTTCTCGTTAATTGGCAACCAGGTGAAAATATGTATGGGCAGGAAAGAAATCTTTCTGGGGTCAGTGCAGAAACACTTTCTTGGAGGATTCAGACATAATTTAAAATCAGGTTTAATTCCAGTTTGGACCAGAATTTAAACACTGCAATATTTCAGTCAAAAACATAGTGGCAGAAACTGGTGGGTGGGCAACCACCTGGGGAGCAAGGTGGCCTTATTGCCGTGAAAAATGGGTTTGTAGTCATCCTTGGCACTGAGCTGTGTGCTTGAAGTTAATAGGATTGACAAATGTGATGGAAGTGATGTTCAGCTGGAACCTGCTGCTGTAAAACCTCTTTTCATGCTTGCTAATGGATCAACTTCATGAACATCTTCAGGAAATCCAGTGAAATTGCATAAGAGTAGGTAGGAGTAAAAATATTCATAGAATTGCCATCTAAGACCTTATAAAGGAGCTGTGGCATTTCCAGTTTTTTCTAGAAGGAAAGGAGGATTTGTTGTGGGTGGTCTTCCTTTCACGCCTAAGCACTAAAGCCACACAGGGAGCAGGAACAAAATGGGTGGGAAGTGCCTTGACTTTTAATACCTCTCAGGCAAAAATCTTTTTAAGTCCAAACTGAA